CCCCGATGGGGAGGACTGGGCTGGCTCTGCGGGCTTCTGGGGGTGGAAGCTCTCCTGCAGCCCCCCAATTGCTCCCTCTCCCCAGATGGCAGCCTGCGGCAAGTGCAGCCGGGCTGATGGCCGAGTGGTGTGATGTGCCCAGTGTGGGCACTCGGGGCACTCCAAGCCAGGACTGGTTTTCAAGCGGGGCACCCCTGAGAACTGTCTGTCCGGGGTGGGGGTCGGGTCCCTTTAAGCGCAGCCCTCGGCTAGCCTGAGACAGCATCTACACGCTCTAAGTCCTCCTCTGATGCCCTGCCGGCACTGCTTCCGGCCAGCCTTAAGCCCTGTTCAGGGTCCACTTAATGTGGACATGCTAGTTCGAATTAGCAAAACGCTAATTCGAACTAGTTTTTAGTTCTACACGCATTAGTTCGAATTAGCTTAGTTCGAATTAACTAATTCGAACTAAGTTAGTTCGAACTAACTCTGTAGTGTAGACATACCCTCAGACAATTTCCCTCAATTAATTCCTGCAAATTCAGTAGCAGTAGTTCAGCTTGAGTATATCTTTATTTTAAAAGCTTCCAGTAATGGAGAATCCACTATAGCCAAATAGTTTAATTGTCCTTGCAACTGAAAAATGTGCCTTATTTCTCATCCAAATGTCTTGAACGTTAACTTCCAGCCACTGGATAGTGTTATAGTTTTGTCTGTGGGCCTGAAGAGGCCCTCTGTTATCAAATGTCTGTTCTTCAGATAGTTATAGTGTGACCTAATCACTCCTAATCACTCCTTCTCTTTGATAAAGTAAATAGACCAAGCATCTAGAATTTCAATATCTCTCATGAGGCATGTTTTTCAAATTGTACTTTACCCTGCAAGCAGCGTAAAAGGTGGGACAATTGTATTTCTTTAATCTCCTCCCAGATACAAACAACAGAAAAAACAATGAATCAGTTTGGTATTAAAATACAGAATAAATAAAATGCAATTAAAGCCATCACTTACAAACTAACCACCCATCAGGAACATTTTGTCCAAAATCAACAGTGAAGTGTTGAGATTATTACAAAAACAAATCTTTCTTTTGAAGCTGGACAAAATATTGAATGCTCAAGAACTGCAGAGTGAAAAAAGAGGAAACAAGATCCATGATGAGCATCTTTTCATTGTGACCCATCAAGGTAAACTACAGGACAGAAAAAGTTGTTTGGTGTAATCACACCATTTGTTTATTTGGTGCTCAAACATGTGTTACAGAAGTTGTTCTGATTTTTGACATGATTATAAATTCATGCATGAATACCAGCTTTCTCTCCTATTCCCTTGCCAACACAGTACTTGTGTGTATGTATGTGTGAGAGAGTCCATAATCCATATCTGAAGAGTTTTAGTAAAGAGTGAGAATACACCCCAACATAATCAATTATATATACAAGAATATTGGTGGTTTAGTGACCTATGCCTTGGATTTAGAACATCAGACTTTCCAGAACCATAGGTTCGGTTGTGTTGGAGCAGATTCAGCCATCTGAAATAGTAAAATTTCCAGACTAACACGGCTACATTTCTATTAAATTTAGTACCACATTGTTGACTGAATTTGCGTCTTTTTAGATGACATCTTAAATCTGAGGCTCAGTCTTGTCTCTTTGGACGTTACACACCCCACAGAGTTTTGTTTACATGGACTTTTTTTTTATTGGTATTCTCGTCAGGTTTTCCCCTCTCCCCAACCATTGCTAACATGCTTATATGCCACTCTAGAATGCTAAAAGTGAATATACTGCAATTAGTTCCTTTAACAGTCTCAAATGCTAAATTATTCCATGCAACAATGGTCTGAAGAAGGGAGAGAGTCTTTAAACAGCTGGTACATTTGTAAATCAGTATTTCTTACACTCCAGTCACATGGAAACAGAACATTAATTTTAAATGGAGATGTAAGAATAAATATGGAAATTAGTCTCCTAATCTACTTGCCTAACTTCTTTCTACATATCTTCAATGGCAATGATTAACACTAACAATGTCTTTCTTATTGTAGCTTATGAACTTTGGTTTAAGCAGATTCTGTGGGAACTGGACTCAGTTCGAGTGATCTTTCAGAATGGCAGTGTAAGTTATGTGCAACTTGTTATAGTGTACAAACTTAAGCCTCTTTTTGAAAGTTTGATACTTATCAAATAAACACATACCACAACACTGAAATTTAAGGCTGAAACTCTGCTCTTTAGTGACACCACTTTGCCATTAGAATAGTACACATATTTTGCACAATTCTGAGGGTTGTAACCCCTAAAGGGTTCACTCTTCAGAAGTGATCGTTTTGGCCAAACTATTCACAGATTCTGATGATTGGTTATCTATGTGGTTTGAAAATGCTAAGCCAATTATTGTGCTGACAAAAAAGTATTACATGTGAAAATTTTATATATATATATATATATATATATATATATACATATAAAATTATCTTTGTAAAAATGTCCAAAACTATATATCTATAGGCAGATAGATGGCCTACGAGACACTGATTTTTTAAAAAAATACAATTTATTTTAAAAAAAATTTATGTTGAAAGTTTCCCTTACCTCTGAATTTTCTGGCTATGATGTACTTATACAATATAATTGATGGTTTTATTATATACCGGTGTATATATTGCTGGTAAATAAAACAAGGGAAAAATCCTCTAGTATTTGGATGTGATTTGATGAAACTGGAGAGGAATTATCAAATCGGTAACAGATGCTTATATAGACACCTAAAAACAAAAAGGGAAATATTTTGAGCACTATTACCACTGCCTGAAGTGAAATACTTTATAAACTAATGAATTGTAAGGACAAACACTTGAGTTTCCTCTGATATGCTGTCAATGAGAGCTGGCTAGCTATGTGTTATTTTAATACAACACTAATAACTGAAAAACTAGCCCTTGTGGACATTATAAAGATTTGTAACATTGTTTGGAAATAGATCTAGCTGCAAAATGTGGAATAAAGATGTTAAAGTTTCAGGAGAAATGAGTTCCACATTTTTTTACTGAAATTTAGTATGCTGATTATCTTTTGTTGAAATCTGAAATGCAGAAAAAATTAACCATCTCTAAAATGGGATATATTTATTCATGAAAGTAATTTTTGTTAAAAACTGAAATTCAGAAACCAGTGCTTATGAAAAGATTAACGTGTAGCATTTTCATCCCTCCTTCGATATTTTTGGGCTGTGCTCATTGACTGCCTTAACAATCTTGAGTGGAATCCTCTGACCCCATTGAAGGGAATGGATGTGTTGATGCAGAGTTGGTTTGGGAACTGCACTGCAATCATATCCCTTTTTTAGACACATTACATCTCCTGCTTCCCTGTCCTGCTTCTCCATTGACTCCAATAGAATTACACTGTGGACGACTTTGACCGAGACTTTTAACCACTTTTTGAGTTAAAAACGTGAAAAATAACTCGTTTATAATAGATTGTGTTAAAATGAATAAGCAGCCAGAGCCAAAACCCTCACATTTTATCCTTTAAGCATATATAAAGACTAACAAGTGTGATTTTAGTTTCATGAAAGAGTCTGTATTCAATACAAGATTTTGCTATTGATTTTTACCTGGAATACATTGTGATACTACAGTGATAAGTGAATGAAACCCCAAAATAGATAGTTTGGGTAGAACACTAGATATAAATAGCTTATCGGCCCATCATTCTCAGGCTGCTCAAGTATTTATTTCCTATTAAGGTGAGAGATGAGAGAAACATGCTGAAGGTTGTTGCTCGAATCCACAGAATTTCAATGATCCTTAAATTACTTGTGGAGCAATTTTCAGTTCTAGAAACTATGACTGCTTTGGACTTCTTTGATTTCAGGTAAATATTTATTATTATTTAGTAATTATCATCCGTGCTTATGTAGAGCTAACAGTTCGGTTTGAATCCAGGACTTTCAGAATTGAAAGCATGAGCTTTTACCACTCCATTGAAGAATTAAATCAATCAGGTCAGCAAGATGAGTGTGTATTTGGGAGAGAAACAGTTGTAACAGTAAAAGATAAAGGTCAATAAATGTCTCTGACTTGATTGCAAGTCCAAGGTATTCTGAGGTTTTTAAGCAGATGTGTTAATTATTTGTATGTGACTTTGCTAGCCAAGAGCACCATTCTATAACTAAAATTACAGTATGCAAATAACCAAAATGTCCTGTCATTTGATAGTGCCAAGCTAAGGCTTAGTAATTTCCTTCCATTTCTCACAGCCACATGTTATCTGAAGCATTTTATGTCAATCATAAATTTGTGTGGGTGAGAGAAACCCACACTCCACATCTAGAGCATGAGCTAGATGTTTTAACCCATTGGTTCTGGGGCGTCACACATCCAAACTTCATAGAATTTGCAGTACAGTATTACTGGATCATTGAAACCAAATGATATTTCAAAAACCTGTGGGAAGCAGCATCTTACTGCCAGTTTTTTGCTACCAACCCTCCATCTTTCTGCACTTCCCACTTTCTTGCCAAGAATTTCTCCTCTCCATCTACTGATAGAAGCAGCTTTTCCCACAAAGTGTTGCCTGGAAGCCCATATACCTCTTTTTGGCTGCTGGCCCGGCTTCTGGGATCCCTCTGTCTGATTTGCTTTCAGGAATGAACTTCTAATTCTTTCCATGTACTCCCAAGTTCCATTGTGGCTCCATGCACCTCCATTCTTACCTTTCCTGTGGTTTCCATGTGGTTCTCCTGGTGATGTCATATAGCTTCCATCCCCTGTTGTATCTTTTTGGAAACCTTTTGGCATTCTATTTTTATCTTATTATCTCTTCATAATACTGCACAAAACATAACTCATTGTCCTTAAAGGTTGCCATAATCCCCCCACCACCATTTTTAAACTTACAAAAGAAGGGAGGTGGGGAGAGGTGGATCAATCATCTATTGAGAGAGATCTTCAATTGTATTTTTCAGACATTTATTATTGTATAATAGGCAATGCTACAAAGTCAATGATTTTCTGTTCAATTGTCACAACCACCTTATGCTTTATTTCTAAATCACTAGTATTGCCAGGTAATGAGAATCAAGGTTATCCTTATTAACTAGTTCTTCTCAACATGGTTTAATTTTTTTATCAGTTCCACATAACATAAAACACCACCTTAACCTTTTGTGCAGAACTAACAAACAAAAACTTGTTCTGATCTATAGAAAGTTTAAACTCCAATAAACATTTTATAGTTTATTTTAATTTTAGCGACTCAAGAAATCTTTCCTAATACCTGTTTGGCTATGCAAGTTTAGAATTAAATTGATATTCTAAATAAATCTCCTCCTGAAACAGATATTGTTAAAAATGTTAATTTCAATATATAATTGTTGTTATTTACTTAAAAATAAAGAAATCAGATTTTCATTGTAATACCAGAGTTGCAACAAAGGACACATAAATGTTATGATGTATCAATTTTTGATATGCTGTAATTGTTAAAAATCTCCATGTAGTTTTTAAGTTATGGATAGCAAAACCACAAAATACCCTTATTTTTTAAATAATATGTCATTACTGTATCTTTTCATGTACCCAAAGAGATTACTTGAGCAAAGCATCTGGTTTTCAGAGCCTTCAGTTTCGACTAATAGAGAATAAGATTGGTGTCCCACAGAGTCTGAGAATCCCTTATAGCAGAAGGCATTACCGTGATAGCTTCAAGGGACATGAGAATGAAATACTATTTAAATCAGAGCAAGAACCAACACTTCTGCAATTAGTGGAGGTAAGGATAGGCACACATGAGCACGGGCACATACACATGCACACACACCTTACCCCCAGTGTATGCAGTAGGGATGTTAAATATCAGTTAATTGAATAGTTGATTCATCTCATGAATTCTCATCGGTTAGTCAACTGTTCTACAGTCCCTGGACATGGGACTGGCAGCCACTGAGCTCTGGCCCCACTCCAGGGGAACCCTCTGCTACTCTGTGCTAATGCCTCTATATCAGAGGCAGCAGCGCAGAGTGCCAGGTGGGACCTGTTCCACAAGGGGAGTCAGTTTAAAAACCAGCTCTCCTCACGGACTGGCTGCCTGCCACCCCATGCTGGTGCCTCTGATACAGCAGCAGCAGCCCACATCCAGGGGGAGGAGGGATCTGAGCTCCTGGACCTGGCATGAGCCAGAACTGAGCTGGGCAGCCTGCCTGGCTCCTAATACACTTTAAAAGCAGAGCCGCAGCAGAGGTAGGTCCCAGACCTGGTGCAAGCTGAGACTGAGCTGGGCTACTGGCCAGCCTGTTAAAAAAAATTACTGACGGGAAGGGGAGGGATGAGTGTATTCTACAGCATTAACATACAGGCTTTTGCTTATCGGTTAATCGACTATACTATTACATCCCTAGTATGCAGTGCTGTGGCAATAGGAGAGCTTGGCAATAATGCTATGGCAATAGGAAAGCTTCTCTTCTCCACATAGCTACCTTATCTCATGGAGGTGGATTAATTAAGCCTATGAGAGAAGCTCTCCCATTAGAGTAGTGACATTTTCACTGATGTGCCAAACCCCATTTTAAATTAGTATTCTTACCCTATTTATGGAAGGAGAAATTGAGAGAGGTAGGCAGTTTATTGAAATCAATAAGAGTTAGGTGCCTAAATGATTTCTGGGCTAAAGCGATTTGTCCAGGTCTACAGAGGAAGTCCATGTTAGATGAGATTAGAAAAAAGGAGTTTCTGTCTCCCAGCTCTAGGAGCATTTAAGAGGAACACATTACCCGTATCACCTACTCACTTTATGATATTTTATTTTTAAGGCATGGCTGGAAAGAACACCAGGATTAGAACCGGAAGGGTTTAATTTCTGGGGAAAATTTGAAGTGAATGTGTTAAAAGGTCTAGAAGAGGAAGTGGCAATGGTTCAGGTACATTACATTTCCTCAGTCTATCAATAAGCATGAGATATGTGATAAAATAAGATCCTATCATTTTCATTTCCATTTTAATCTAATCACTGATCCTTTCTCTTGGTTCCTTCAGTCTTAAATCAACTCAGACTTTGATTGCAAAAGATAGGGTTGAAATCCTGGCTCCAGTGAAGTCAATGAAAGTTTTGCCATTGACTTCACCGGAGCCAGAATTTCACCCACGCAGTTGATTCTGAAGATCAACATGCAACTCTTCCATATGAATTCCCATGGGCTTGTTCATAGAAGAAAATGTTTGCAATGCACAACTGTGAAGTGGTAATGTAGTGTTTCACATAGATTTACTAAATGGTACGCATGGGTCCAGCAAGAAGGGATGTCCATTCATAGACTGATATTTAACTTACTGAACTACATATATATATTAGCTGTTTTGCTTTTAAAATGTTTTGTTTTTAAAAACTAATCATTTAGTTGCCCAACAGAACACAAATATCTAGATGCGAGTGATTATATGTCTCAGAAAAGGTTCTCTTGCTGTATTTTGAGGATTCATTTTTGGAAATTATCTTCTTTAGGTCAAATTACATTTTTAATTAAAAAAAATTCTATATTCAATTGTGGGATTTTTTTGACAAGTTCTAAGGTCAATATTTTTCTAAATGCTGGATTTCTTTCTTCCTGTCTGCCTGCCTTCCTTGCTGCAAATAAAGAACCGATAAAATCTGACCTGTAAATCCTTGAGGACAGATTTTTTTTAAAAAGTATGAATTATGCAATTGTGTTCAATCTTGTGAATGAATTGATCTCATCTGGACATGAAATCTGGCTAACTGATGTGGTGAATTAAGTATATTTATGCATGCACTGGTTATAATCATTGTGCATTTGCGTAGGCAAGGCACATCCTACTTGTTTAGAAATATATTTACAGGTGTAAATTCATAGAATTATGATGCCAAATATTGTACTTGTATAATAAATCATTTAAAAAAGTGTAGGCCTCTTCTAAAAATAATTATTTCATTTTATGTTTTTAAGACCAAGCAAGCATCAGAGGAAAAAGAGGACCTACTGGCTGAACTTAAAAAACAAAAAGAGGTTTTTATTTCATTATTTGATGAAAAGCGCCATGAACATCTTCTGAGTAAAGGTAAGTTATGTTTTCACCTGGAAAAATATAGTTTCATAACAATAACTGGACCCTTTCTGAAAAAGAAGTTTTAAAAATGCAAGGGAGAAAGTTGTCTTTGAAAGTTATGATTTCAAGTTTGTGATTTGCTTTTTTTTTTAAGTTAATTTTATGATGATTTGTCAATTTTCCAAGTAATGGTGGAATTTATTCTACAGTTACTTTAGAAGCAACTCTGATTGCTAAACACAATAATATATACTTTTCTCCTACCATATATTTTTGTATCCTTACTATGTACTAAAATGGACTCCAGACATTTGCAGGAAAATTAACACAGAAACAATTTTTTAAAAATTTTAATTTTGCAGGAGAAAGAAGACTCTCTTATAAAGCATTGCAAGGAGCTTTAATGATCTACTTCTACAGGTACTGTAATGAGATATTGCTGTAATATTTAGGGGGGGGGTAACTGAAGAAAGAAGTCAAGGGTAATTGTGGTCTATTTATTATTGCAACTGATTGTTGAAAAACTATTCTAGAGCATATATTATATTTTAGCAGGTTTCTTAATTTCTCCTAAGGACAAATTGTTATAATGTGGGACAAAAGGCAACTCACATTTTAGGAGGATGAAAGCACCTAGTAGAATACTGGGTTTGTTTTTTTTTATTGGTAGAAGAAATTTAGAGGTAAAAAAATTACCAATGTCAGTGCTATGCCTACTTGAAGTGGTGCTTTGTTAAACATGGCATATTAGGAAATATTAGTAAGATAATACAAACTTTCTCTATGTCTTGTCTTTAATTTTTCAAGAGAGGAGCCTCGCTTTCAGGTTCCCTTCCAGCTTCTTACTTCTCTCATGGATATCGATGCACTCATGACCAAATGGAGATGTAAGTTTCTTCTGTATCATGATACTATATCTTCTAGGTGCAGGATTATTCTTCCCTTTGTCACTATAGTTGTAATCAAGATGTATCAAACCAGAATTCTAAAGACCTGCTCCCCTTTTTATTCTAAGACCACTGCTTTTGTTTTGATCTGGAGGGCTGGTGAGTGGTTGTTCTGCTTGGGGAGGCTGTGGCTCCCTAGCCTGCTTCTTTTTCCTGTGGCCAGGCCCATACTCCCCTCCTGCTCTGCCAAGGACCCCACCATGTGCTCCTCCCATACCCCACTCTGTTATCTCCCTCCTTTCTTCCCTGCTCCCCTCTCCCCCCAAAATATCTATGTATTCTTTATATTTATTCTCAGTGCATGTGTGGTTTCTACATGCAATTTTTTTCAGAAATGGGCTTTTTAGAATCTACTCCAAAGTATTTTTGAATATCCATGTTCTCAAGTTGAACAACTAGCTAAGGGGTGCTGGATCACATGGCATCCAGGGACCAGTGTGAAATGTGTATCTGAGTTTCACTGGAGAAACTCATAAGGTGGGCAAGCGAAGGTGGGGAAGCTGGAAGTGGAGAGCAGTGACTAGTGGAGATGAGGAGGAGAAGCACACAGAGGAGAGGGGATAAGAGAGGGGTGGATGGAGGTACAAGTGTGGGTGAGAAGAAAACCCATGTAAGGAAGGGGGCTGAGTGAACGAAGAGAGAGGGACTATAGTAACTGAGTAACAGGGGGCCAAATAAGCAGAGGAGCAGGAACTGAGGACCAAATGGGTGTCATGAGAAGGGAAGAGGAAACCCACTAGATACTAGCAAGGGAAGGGAGGCTGAGCCCTAAGCAAGGAGGGGACTGTAGCAATCGTGTGGGGAGAGGGCAAGAAGGGGAAGGTACTGGGAAGCTATCTCTGCAGAGCTGGTTGGGCTAGGCAAACTCCCTCCATCACCCACATACCAGCAAAGGGACAGGGGGACTACAGAGACAGTATGTCAGGGGAGGGGAAGAGGACCCAGGAAAGCTCACCAACAATTTACGCTGGGGGAACCAAACCCATCACCCTTCTCCACACAACAGCAAGCATGGCGGGCAGTGGTGGTGGGGAGGCTGATCAGGGAGAAGGGAAGGGGAACACTCGGAGCAGCAAGCAACAGCTGGGGCAAGGAGGCGGGGAAAGGAGGAAACCTCACACAGGGCAAATGGGGAGTCTGAGGAGAGACAGGATAGGGAACTCACTGACTGGGACCAACCAAACAGGATAGGGTAAAGAAGGATGGAATGGGGGAAAGGCAGCTAAGAAGCCCACTTTGCACACCCTGGGCCAAGGAGCAGGGAGGAGGACTACATGGGCTGAGGGCCAAACAGGGAGGAGGGGAACAAATGGACAAGCAAGCAACACAGCAAGGTAGGTGGGGATGGTCACTGGAGACCAAGGCTGGTACTCATCTCAGAGAAGGTGTGCTGGGGAAAACTGCAGGCTGCCACAGCAGGGAAAGCCAACGTGACTGTAATTGGAGCCTTATATATGTTCCATGCAGGTTCCAGGTAGGGAGCTGAGGAGGCTCCCTGCCACACAGCCTTCCCAGCCACTTGGGAACCTGCCTGAACCATGCTAACAACATCCTGTAGCAACACATGGCAGGGAGGAGAGCGGCGGGGCTGCCACACTCCAGCATTCAGCAGCACACCTGTGGCCCCTGTGTGGGAAAGCAGTGCCTTCCTTTGCCTGATGGGTGCACCACCCAAGTCCTTACCTGTTGATGCATGTACATGGAACAGCCTTTGCCTTCCTTTATGACTAAATAGATCACTTTCATGATATGCCTAAAATTGGGGCAACATCTTATTATCTATGGGTACATCTGTAACTGCCACCAAGCAGATTTGAACCTAGGACCTCTGGAGCTTAGTATAGGAGCCTCCACCCTTTGAGCTAAAAGCCCATGCTATAGAAGTCTCTTAGTCTTATCTGTTGCTGTGGTCTCGGTGCCACTGCAGGGGTTACACTTCTACACAGCAACATTTTTTTTCAAAATAACTAGCATTATTTCAAAATAACTTACACATCTACACAGCAACATTTTTTTCAAAATAACTAGCATTATTTCAAAATAACTTAGTCTGTGTATATACAGCAGGCAGTTATTTCAAAATAATGTCAAAATACTGTCAAGCTAGAGGACTTCTTACTCGGACTCATGTAACCCTCATTGTACGAGGAGTAAGGGGAGTCAGAGAAAAAGTGCTCTATTTCAAAATAAGTGCTGTATAGAAGCTCCCAAATTTTGAAATAAGCTACGCAATTGACGTAGCTCAATTGGAATAGCTTATTTCGAGTTAGGCCCTGCTGTATAGACATACCCTAAGGGAACTACAGTTTCTTCCCACACCTCATCATTCCTCTCTATCCAAACATTCTTTGAGCTCTTTTATGCCTTGTGTACGTAACAGGGTGAAATATGTTATCATATATGGGATTACAGTCAGCAGTACTACTTAGTCAATATGCAACATGCTGACCGAGTCTCTCTGATGGCCTAGTGGGTCATCTATGACCTTTATTTGTGATGTTCCAGGAAAATAGTCATAAGCATTGCCCCAAACCTGAGGACTTCACAGGAAACTGTGATACAATATAACTTACAATCTGGCCAGCTTTAATAGGGACGTTAGTAGTCAACACCATTATAACTAAACCCTTTTTTATCCCAAAGCAGCAACTTAAAAAGTAAATTCTAAAGGCCATATTTTGTTGATTCCTGTTACTTAGATAATCATGTCTGCATGGCACACAGAATGATTGGCAGCAAGGTGGGCACTGGAGGATCATCAGGCTATCAGTATTTGCGCGCCACAGTGAGGTGAGAATGAAGAAAAATTATTTAAACTTCATAGTAGTAGTCTTTTCCACTCAATAACCTGTTTACAGTACATTACACTAACATGATCAGTACTTTTTATTTAGTCGTAGCCAGGTAAAAAGCACTTTAGTATTAGTGAAAGAATCCAGAAAAAAAAAAGAGCATCAGTCCAAATATAGTGAAAATAAACAATAAGTATTACAGAACCAATGTCTACAGAGACTTTGAACATTGACATCTTTATATAAAAAGCTGTGTTTATACAGCAGAAAGAGGGTGACCTTTTATCTTAAGAGTTAAACTATTCTTTGAGTTTAGGGACTGAAAAAACTTGAATGTATATTGGTAAAAGCTATTAGTGTTTATAGATTTTCAGTACGTCTGTCTGTTTTGTCAGTCAACTAAAGACAAGCTTTTCCATGTGACAAGAGGTGAAGTTCCATAAAAGTCAATGCAGTTGTGAAGATTTATTACACTAATGGAAAGTGGGAGGAGTCTAACTAATCAGTTACAGTTGTCATCTTTCAGAATTGTTAGTCTTCCCTGCTGTGCAAGGCACATATAATCGGGGATCTTATCTCTCTATCTCACTGACCAGTTCTCCTGCACTTCAGATGACGGGTCATGTGAAGAAGTGGGTAGTACCCATGAAAGCTCATGATACAATCTACATATTTTGTCAGTCTTTAAGGTGCTGCTAGACTATTTGTTGTTTTTTAAGTTGTCCCAGTTACAGACTAACTTGTCTACCCCTCTGAAGCCCTGAAACAATGTTTGAGAAAAGAGTTGATTGATTGTTTGAATCAAATTACAAAGTGGGTAGAAATGCAACAGATTTACTGTTTTGTACAAACATAACTTAGGGTAGGGTTACAAAAGGTACTTAGGCTTTTAAGTGAACCTAAATTTCAAGCCTAAATCAGCAATGATTGTGAGTGGAAGCCAGGAAAAAACATGGCTTTGACATGAAGGCAATTTTGATGAGTTTCCCTTTGTGGCTCTTTCAAGAATGAAAGATCCAAGAGATTGAAACCACATGAATTCAAATAATCTTTGTGTCATTCAGCTGTAGTCTGAACTGCCACAACACTTGGTGGAAAGACCATGAAATCATTACTTATAGATGTTTTCCATTAGAAGATAATGGAGGGTTAGCTTGTGTACTATATCGTTCAAACACCGTGGGAGTTCCCAGGATCCTTTGTAATGTAATTTGATAGATCTGAACCAAGATTAGAGAGGCTATAATTGGCCTTTACAAAGCCTAAATTACCATATTAAAGTTAATGCATCTGATTTTATTTTTTCAGTGACAGGTACAAGGTGTTTGTAGATTTGTTCAACCTTTCAACATTTTTGGTGGCAAGACACTGGATACCAAAGATGAACCCAACTATTCATAAATTTCTTTACACAGCAGAATATTGTGACAGCTCCTATTTTAGCAGTGATGATTCAGATTAAAGAACCTTCCTATGGTGATCCATGTTAAAGAACTTTGAATTGTCATGTAAACTGGTTCTGACCTTTTGTGAGGTCCCTTAAATTTATTAAATGTTACAAAGCATGTATATATATTTATGTACACCAGGCTATAGGATTTAAAGTTTATGATGAAAATTTGGACACATGATAAATAGTATGATTTATAAATGATACTAACTACTAAATTTTCATATTGAGCTATTTTTAAAACATTACAGAAATAAGAAGGCACAGTTTGCTGAAGGAAACAGCATTCAGAGATATGACTCTGGATAAGTTGAAATGCTGTTGTTAATGCTAATGCATTTTCCTCAGTATCTTTAAAGAGATAGTTTTGTTATTAAAAATCACACAGGACTTCTAAAATGTCTTTTCATTTTAATAATCCAATTTACTTTTCTATATTTGTGCTTATTTTTGCATTTCTGGCATCTTGGACAATGAGTGTGAACTAATTCATTTTACTTTTGTTTAGTTCATTTTTCATCAATTTTCATACACTAGAAAATGCTTTATATTTGTTTACTTTAAAAACATGTCCCTGTTGGAATAAAAAAAAGGGAATTTTTATTGCATTGAGATTTTTATACCGCTAAATTTTAGAAAGTCTAAACATGGAGCCAAAGTGGGCCTGACAGTGTTCCTAAATAATTTATATGAAAAGGGCAATATCTTGATTCTTATGTGCCATAATAAAATATGCAATAATGCATACCTGTAAAAGATAGCATAATTAATACCTGATATTCTTGTTAAATACTTGTTATATATGCTTTATTTTTGTCTCATACTTAATTTTTTCTCTTCAAATAAATGGCTGTTAAACTTAAAGCTTTTAATTTCTTATTGATAATTCTCTTTTAAAAGAGAGGCAGTTGTACTAAATTCCAGAATGAAGGCATTAGAAAGATAAGTCTTTTTATTTATTCAAAGTACTGGTATAGCAAAGGTAGCAGTAATGCAAAATTCTATCATACCATTCTGCCAATTTGTTTCAAATCAGAACTATAACACATTTATAATGTTATAACAACTATAATATTATCTTATAGGATATGGAGACAGTAAGTATTCCTGTCCACTAAATCCTTGTGTTTGAATACTAGACTCTATTGAGACGGAGGCATAAATTAATACTCTTTATGCTTGTTCACTGAGAAACAGAGACTATCAAGAGCAATCAGATAGCAACAACTTTTAGACATAACACAGTAAAACCAAACATAAAAAATGATTATTGCTCTTATCAAATCTCAGTTGAAACTTGTAATCATACTATTTTGCTTACAATAAGTAATAAATGCTGCTGCTTAATAGTTCTCATCAGGCTTTTTCATATCTAAGGAAAACTTCTCTTACAGCAAAGGGGCTTCATTAGAAAGCACACCAAATCCAGCATCTTAGCATGAGACTAGACAAAATGACCCTTGTGATCCTTCTAATCTCTGGTTGTATAATTCTATGAAACAATACAAGAGTGTTCCAAAGGGAAGCACTGCACTCTGGCGCCATTGTTTTCAGTTTCTAAAGCATGCCTTTCAGAAACTGGGTGCTATAGTATCAGCCTGTCCTTACAGCCCTTTTTGTTAGCTCCACTGAGTTGTCTTACCTCATTGGTTTACAAAAGTGAAGTTGCTATCCTAGGGTATGTCTACACTACCCCCCTAGTTCGAACGAGGGGTGGTAATGTAGTCATACGGAGTTGCAAATAAAGCCCGGGATTTGAATGTCCCGGGCTTCATTTGCATAAAGCCGGCCGGTGCCATTTTTAAATGCCGGGTAGGTTGGACCCCGTGCCGCGCGGCTACACGCGGCACGGACTAGCTAGTTCGGATTAGAAAGCCTAATCCGAACTAGCTAGTCCGTGCCGCGTGTAGCCGCGCGGCACGGGGTCCGACCTAGCCGGCATTTAAAAATGGCGCCGGCCGGCTTTATGCAAATGAAGCCCGGGATTTGAATGTCCCGGGCTTCATTTGCAACTCCGTATGACTACATTCCCCCCCCTAGTTCGAACTAGGGGGGTAGTGTAGACATATCCCTAGATAGCAAAATTGAGTTAGGAGCAATAGTGTAACAGAACAAGTTACCATCAAGTCAATTTAAGGTAACAGTAGTTTTGCACTCAGGACTTCCCGTCCTATATTTTGATACTTCAAGATATGATTAATAGATTCCAAGGCTACAATCAACCGTTGTGATCATCTATAGGGTTGCAAGGTGTCCAGTTTTGAATCGGACAGTCCAGTATTTGAACTTTCTGTTTGGGAAACAAATTGAGAAAATACAAATGAGAAAATATAAATGTCCGGTATTTTCTAAATAAGATGTAATGTAGATTGTGATGTAATATCAAGTGTGTCCGGTATTTTTGCTGAAACCATCTGGCAACCCTACATCTAATCTTATATCCTAAAGAGCACAGGTCACAGAGTTTCCCTAGAATAATCCCAGAACATACCTTTTAGAAAAGCATCCAATCTTGATTTTAAAATTGTCAGCAAGATAATCCATCATGACCCTTTATGCGCTGTTCTAATGAGTAATTGCTCATTATTAAAAACATAGGACTTATTTTCTGTCAGAATTTGCATAGCTTCTGCTTCTGGCCATTGGATCACGTGTTACCTTTCTCTGTTAGGCAGAAGATCCCATTATTAAAAATGTGTTCCTCTTATATCTACAGAAGAAGATACTTATAAAAGATTGAGTCATGGGGCACCTTTGGGCAGTCTGGAGGACTAGTGTGTGTGTGGGGGGGAGAGGAGGGTGGCACTGGCAGTAGGGGTCAGGGCCCCTGCTCTCACCAGCAGCTGTGGGGGGGAAAGCAAAGCATTGTGGCTACATTCTCCCTGATCCCAGCCATGTCACTCAGGGAAGAGGCGGGGCCATCCCTCACACTTACTGGCAGCAAACCTCTTCCCAGTAGCCCTGGGTAATCATATTACCCTTAATCTTCTCTGTAATTCTGTCATCTGATTTAACAAACATGGAGCATAGGACCAACCAAAGCAAACATTGAGGCTACATATACATTGGCAAGATTTTGCACAAATACTCTTTAATGCAAGAGTTTTTGCGTTAGAGTATTTGCGCAAGAGAGCGTCTACACTGGCATGTGCTTTTGCGCAAAAGCATCCGTGCCAGTGTAGACACTCTCTTGCACAAGAAAGCTCCGATGGCCATTTTAACCATAGGACTTTCTTGCGCAAGAAATTCATGTTGCCTGTCTACACTGGCCTCTTGTGCAAGAACACTTGCGCAAGAGGGCTTATTCCTGAGTGGAAGCATCATAGTTCTTGCGCAAGAAGCACTGATTTCTTACATTAGAACGTCAGTGTTCTTGTGTAAGAACTCGCAGCCAGTGTAGACAAAATCTTGCCAATGTAGACACAGCCTGAGAGACACATGACAAGATGGTGAGAGAGAAACAGTAAGCAACAGAAACAGCAGCCATTACTAGAACTTCATAATACTATATCACAATTTGAATATAAGACTAGGATACAAGTGAATTTTCACATTCTTTATTTAGAAAGAATATTATTAAAACACATATTCCACACTGTAATAAGAGAACCTGTTCAAATGTAACAGTGCAAAGTATTTTTGTAAAAATGTCTTCACGATTCAGATAAAAGTTACATGTGTGTTTTTATAAAAATGTCAACATTGATTCAAAGTTATTTCTACATAGAACAAAACTGATTATCACAGAAATTCACAAAAGTTTCTAAATAAATAAATGATACTGAAAGGCTTTAAAATTTAAAAATGGCATTGCTATCTACTCTTATGTTCTGCAGATCAAAAAGTTCAAACACTTTATCATCTCTTTTCAAAGATTCTATCTGACCAACCCATGGAAAAGAGCAGAGATGAATGGGTCTTGTAGAGAAACTAATCCAGCAATCTGTGGCTAGAGGGATGATCTCCATGATACACCAGTTAAAGGTGCTGATTGGGGAAATGCAGAGAGAAAATGAGGTATCTTAATATCCCTTCTTCATTCCTCTGCTAGTAACTAGCAACAATCGATGATGGACTGTTATAAGACAGAAATTAATATGTAGAACCCACATTTAGTGAGTTAAAGGCATCTTTTAGCTATGACAATCATAGAGTGAATTTCCCTTTTGCAGAAGTGTTGTTAATGGAGGTAGAGAAAAGAGACTGAAGCAGCTTTAACTTTAACACTTTTAAAATAATGAAATGCCCATTTGCAACCTTAAATGCAAAGACATGGTACAGCAGATATGCTTTCATATCTCAGGTTGAAGTATTGCAGTATCCTAAAGCTGCTGAGGTGCTCTTTGCACTGATAGGTAATCAAGTACATTGGAAGATAAGCATAAAAACTAAATGTAAGAAGACATGAGAGGTGAGGGTCAAAGACACTGGAAGGGAGAGGGTGTGAAAAGATGAAAGTACATGGTTATGCAAGAAGGCAAATATACATTTTGATGGTTCCATCACTATCTGGTGTGTTCTCTTTCCTTCCCCATACTTCTTTTGGCCTTTACAGTACAAGTGAAATGTTAGAAGAGATTATACTATGGTTAAACCTGCTTGCTTAAGTATATATTGTAGAGTGGCCCAGGAGGAAACTGAAGAGAAGAAAAGAGAGCAGAAGAAAGAGAGGAAGTCCATGTTAGTGCAAACAGCATCTACAATCAAAACAAAACTATAAGAAAAGCCAATTCAGGCACCAGAAGGTACCAAAGAGATAAAAAAACAACTGTGATTTCACACATGGTTTTTTAAAATAAAACACAGGAGGAAATGGAAAGATACATCATGTTTCTCCTCATATTAAAGGGCTTTCAGGCTGTCCAATCATACAGCTAGATTTCTAGACTGAAAACCTTCAGCAAACATTATCTCTTGCCATTTATTTTCTTGTATCATTTCATTCTGAACCAATAGTGGTGTTAGTGACTTTCTAGGCCTTGTTAGTGCTGCCATTTCTTTCCTTGTATCATTTCATTCTGAACCAACAGTGGTGTTAGTGACTTTCTAGGCCTTGTTAGTGACTTGTCAGTGGGCATTATTTGGGACCAAGAAACTGACTGTGCTCCACATCTTCCATCTAGGGTTAAAGATTAAATATTTCAATTGGTGTTCCATACAGTTCAAACTTCCAAACTGACCACCACAATGGGATCCTTAAGTCATCTTTCTTTGTGTGGTATTTGGTGGAGTTGTCTGTGTAGCCCCAATCAGATTTGGCAGCTCAGATTCTGGAAGCTGAAGCAGCTTGCTGAATTCTGACTATGCTGTGTCTCTAACATCCAGGAGACCAACACCTCATAATAAAATAGTTTTTAAAAATTTTTGAAGTAAAATATCTTCATATTGAATAAGCGTAAACTTATGGAATCTCAGTATCTGACAAATAACTGCCAGCAGGGTGGTTTTTTGTTAGGCCAGTCAGTCAAACAAACACAGATGAAACTGTATCTGCTATACCTAGAAGAAATAAAACACAAACTAGATGCTGAATAAGTATAAAGAACACATTTACTTCAAATTAAACTTGGGTCCCAAATAACCAACTAAAACATAATCCCCAAAAGTTCTACTTCATCGACCAGGATAGGTGAAAGGCAAAGAAAAAGGAAACAAAACTTTTTTTTAATTTTTATTCCTTTGTATTGTATGAAAACAACTACAATTCTCATCCTCCCCCAAAATAAAAGGATTCTCCTTTATTTTCACATTAGAGATGATCAGTTTTTTTTTCTTGAACTTACAATGTGTTAGCAGAACTGGAGTAGTTCTCCTAATCTAGGACTCAACATCCTTTCCCTTTCTCCTTAAGGACTGCAAAAACTGCAGTAAAATTTGCCATCCAAATATGCTATCATGTTCTAGGTTCTCCACAGATTGCACAAGGCCCCTCTGGACGAATTTGTGGCCCTGGTATGATATGTTTGCTGGGGCCTCATTCTCCCATTTTACCCCTATTTCATCCTAGTTACAGAAATTTGGGGAGCCCTACCACAATTGCTCCTCCTTTCCTACTCTTATTACCTCTTCTAAATGTCTTCTAGAATAAAGGTAGAGGACAGAGAGTGTGAGTTAAACAGTAAGGTTACGTCTACACTGGCACGTTCTTACGCAAAAACTCTTTTGCGGAAGAGTTCTTCTGCAAAAACTCTTCCAGAAGAGAGCGTCTACACTGGCATGTGCTTTTGCGCGAGAGATGTGCTTTTGTGCAAGAGCATCCATGCCAGTGTAGATGCTCTCTTGTGCAAGAAAGCTCTGATGGTCATTTTAACCATAGGGATTTCTTGCGCAAGAAATTCATGTTGCCTGTCTACACTGGCCTCTTCTGAAAGAGCTCTTGCACAAGAGGGCTTATTCCTGAGCGGGAGCGTCATAGTTCTTGCGCAAGAAGCCCTGATTTTATACATTAGAACGTCAGTTTACTTGCGCAAGAACACGCGGCCAGTGTAAACAGGCAGCAAGTTTTTGCGCACGAGCGCCTGCTTTTGCAGGAGATCGCGCCAGTGTAGACACAGCCTGAGTGATGGGCATGCCACATTTTCACCACCAAAAGAGAGAATGACTCAATAATTCTTCCTCAGGATGCCCAGCGTGCACGAAGTCCACACATCTGTCCACACTCATTTCAACCCTCTCTGAGTAGCAGTACATCCTGCAAGGGTACCCCAAAGAACAGGCCCTGAGTGCAATTGTGACTGGCTCTTGTTCAAAATGAGGTGGGTGGGAGATAGACGAGAAGGGTTCTGTATCCATGTAAGAGCCTGTCACAATCTCGTTCTAAATCAGGAATTCATATGTTTATTTTAAAAAATGAGAAATTATGAATAGAGAAAAACTAAGATTAATAGATTCATAGAATCTCTACTGCTCCTCTATGTTGAATTTAGGGCACAGACAGTTTGGTTTTGTTTCCTTACTGAGAAAGGTGAAGAGACAACTGGGTTAATGTGAGAATTATTGAATTGGCTTTAATTTTACTCATTTTTCTCTTGGTCCTTTCTCTACAATTGGCCTGCTTTAGTTACCAGGACTCAAATCAAATGTTACCAAGTAATTAGTGCATACAATAGAAAATGAATATTCTCAAATTTAAATAGCTGTATAAGGACCCCGATCTTTGTGTCGTCACATCAGTGCAAAGTGGGTGCAAAATGTTATCCAGTTTGATCTTGTACGATTTTATACCCACTTTGCCCTAATGTAACTAATTACCAAAGGTATTGACCAGTCACGCACTGTATGTGTGACATATATGGTTTTTATGGTAGGTAAGTCCAAGATACGGACAACCTAACCTAAGATAAACTAACAAACCCAATCCAGTATTAATCACGGTTAAGGATGCCTGTACAAAAAGTAGATGGCATTAACTTCTAGTCCAATCATTGTAATTAGATGTGTGGTCCTCATTCGGAAGGGTCTGATCTTGTGAGGTGCTGAGGAGACTTCACAGAATCAGAATTCATAACAAGATCAAAATTCAACTGACACGTGGTCTTTGTCAGTAAACTTGGTGAAGAATAATGTAGGGACTATAACTAAAGGTGAACCTACGGGCAAGAGCCCTTCATCCTTTGCAGAATCACTGGGCTGAACACAGCTACCAGAGTCCATGTTTACAGATTTGCTTGCAAGATCGAATCCTTACATAACAAAAGGTACCCTGTGCCCATGTAACTTAACTAAACTGATGTGTACTTTAACTTGTTATGCATTAAAGCTTTATAAATATTAGCTCATCAATCAAATATATGAATTAGGTCCACTAGCAAAGATTTTGTTTTATTTACATGTTTTTTCACGAGCATTCTTCTTGTCCTCATTTTATAAATAAAGTGAGTTTGTGTTTTTACAAACCTAACCTATAGCTGAAGTGTTTTACAGATCCTTTCACATACATGAAAAATTATATCCCAGAATGTTCCTTTACTTTCAAACCAACTGTTTGTTTGTTTGACTTACCACAGACATTACTTCCTATTTTAACATGGGCATAACCATCTTTTCCCCATGTGCGTCCCCACGAGTTGCGTACAATCCAGTAAGGGATGCTGCCTGTAAAATGAGAGACTTATATAATAAATATGAAAACAGAAAATTTTGAAATCCTAATAAAACTCTTAATGAACGAATAGTCTAATTATTAGTCATTTTAATGTTTCATATTTTATACTGATTTGATGTAATGGTAGTGGAATCTACTATTAAAGGACAGTTAACAAGCAGATGCTATATGGCTGCTGCTACAGAATATCCTCATTCTTGAAGAAGTAATATAGAAACACTATACTTGGATTGACAGAATTTATGGTCACCTGTATTCTTATTGCCATGTCTTTAATGGGCTGCTGCCAGGGTGCACTGGGGATATGTTGGCATGGATGCAATAAATAAAAATACAGAGCCTAGATGAGCTGAACAGTTAAGTATTCTTTGTTTTAAGATAGATATCTTAAACAGATTCGTTTCTAACCACCTCTTTTTTATAAAGGATAAAATTACTCAGTGAAGCAGAGTCCATATAAAAGCCATAGGTTTTGAAGCCATAATTAATGAAACTTTACCTGTTCTATCAAAACCAGTGATGAGAACAGCATGATTTGCTTTTCCACTGGAGCAGTGATACTGTATGATCCCACCCAGATAATCCTGCCAGCTAACTGCATCTACTACCACTGCCAAAGGTCCACAGTTAACAAGCTTCTTCATCATTTCGTCTTCCTGGCCACTGTGAAAAGGATAAGAGTTATAATCCAGAATTGTTAGACTGCAATGTGTCAAAAACAATCTCCAAGTGAGCTAATTCTGCCCATTTTAACTTTCAAATAACAAACTGTTTCCTATGAAAGTTAAACATCACAGGATTATATGTCAAGATAGCAACAGGGTAAGACAGGTGATACAAAGCAAAGAATTTGCCTATATTAAATTACAGTAAGTAGATATTTACAGTAAGTAGATTTTGGATTCAACTGCAGGGAAACAGCAAATACTATGTAAGGGCACGTCTATACAGCAGGGCTAAAGCGATACTATGTAAGGGCACATCTATACAACAGGGCTAAAGCCAAACTAAGCTATACAAGCTGAGCTACGTCAATTGTGTAGCTTAAGTTGAAATAGCTTATTTCGGCTTTTGGCGCTGTCTACACAGCAGGAAGTCTGAGACACACTTTTCCTCTGACTTCCTTTACTCCTTGTAAAATGAGGGTTACAGGAATTGGAGCAAGAAGTCCTCCAGCTCAGCATTATTTTGACATTATGTTGAAATAACTGCTTGTAGTGTAGACATAGACTATGTTATTTCCTCTCCTGTTCCTCACTTAGAATGTGGCCTTTGACAATCCATACGATATGTTAACATGCAACAAAGTAAACTTTCGTGAGTCTTTAACATGTTTTTGAAGCTCAAAGCAGCTTTACTCAAGAGTGTAGGCTTTGTAATACCTAGTAACCAAAACTGTATTACAATATGTATTGAACATTATATTTTAGCTAACAAACCAACAATCCTAATTAAATTTACTTAAATGTTTTAGTGAATAAATTTATGTGGTATGCTGATAATTTTGGGTAACATCACTAGTCATTTGTTAATAGGTATTTAGCTTAAATTAGTTTGCCCACTTTCACTTTTCTATAGTTATTCTAAATGTACTGCTCTCAGAACAAAAGCAGTTACATCAAGTGACTAACACTTACTCACAATTTTTTTCCTGGAGTTATGTAATAGTCTGGAAATATTAGCCACTCTAAGTATGTTTAGTTTGGTTATCACCAACATTATTTAGCAAAAAAGTATACAATTACTTCTTTTTTAGCTGTTTATCATCTTCCTGCTTCCTGATTTTTCATATGGAGTCACTGAAAGTAAATTGTATTGTACTGACAATTTAAAAAATTAGAAAGTCAATTTAGTACATTGTGAAATAGAGAACAAGTTGTCTTTACCAATTTCATTCAATAGCAGTGTTTGCTCAAGTCACAAGCTCTAAAGGGAGGAATGTTTACAGTGGAAATGCACAGATAGCTATGGGGCTGAAGTAATCAAATGCCTGCTGATTTCTTTTTTCCACTGAAGTTTGATGACGGCACTAAGATTTGTTGTTCACGAGACACAGGTCACTAGCATTCAAAAAGTGTACGCATAAAATTGAGAGCACACAGAGAGTGCACTTTGACTTTATAGTAGCTGAAAATTACTGTTCTTATCCAGTACTGAAGAAAAATTCTATGCAAATCAAAAGCTTGTGTGTCTCTCCAACAAATGTTGGTCCAATATAAGATATTACCTCACCCACCTAATCTAATATCTTGGAACTGACAGCCACAACTGCATTTTACTCTGTCATTTAAACAATCTAGACCACAACTGCCAAAATTATTATGATTTTATATACAGTGGTAGGATTAACATATGACTGACCAATGCTAACAGTAAAAATAATCTTTGGCTGTTGAATGCAGTGAAGGCTTTGGCTTCACTTCCTAGTCTGTGAACACAGGAAAAAAGGTACAGCAAATAAAAAGAATCAATAAGGGTTACCTGAAGTCATATGCAGCATAATCTGTGATTGAAACTCCAAAGTCGGAGTGCTGGAAATAATGGCACAGCCCTGTTTGAGCTTTAAAAGTGTATTCAGAATCTTTCACCAATTTTACTTGTGTCTGTAAGAAGATAAATTACTAAACATTTGGCACTAAAGCTTTGCAGAACACCTGGCTTTGCAGAACACTAGGTGGTATGGATACTATACTAACCCGCAACAGAAATTTTAAAAAACCACTGCCATCCCAGGAGTACCTCTGTATTTACAAACAATTCAGTTTATATGGCACAAATCGCAACAGGTAGAGACTGAGCTGGCACCAAGGAAGGAATCTGTTCTCTCCAGCCACAGTGCAGCTGTGGACCTTCTGTACAGATTACTTCCACCTACTGGTTAATGAAACACAATCTGTACACCTTGTATGCGTTTTGTGGAGGACAGGATCTATGCAGCAACGTCTATATCTTTTTCAGCTTCATGAAGAAGTCCATGAAGAATGGGGATGTGCACCCCATAAAATAAAAAACTAAATAAGAACATAAGAACGGCCATACTCGGTCAAACCAAAGGTCCCTCTAGCCCAGTAGCCTGTCTGCCGACAGTGGCCAGCACCAGATGCCCCACAGAGAGTGGACCGAAGACAATGATCAAGCGATTTGTCTCCTGCCATCCTTCTCCAGCCTCTGACAAACAGAGGCCAGGGACACCATTTCTATCCCCTGGCTAATAGCCTTTTATGGACCTAGCCTCCATGAAATTATCTAGCTTCTCTTTAAACTCTGTTATAGTCCTAGCCTGCACAGCCTCCTCTGGCAAGGAGTTCCACAGGTTGACTACACGCTGTGTGAAGAAGAACTTTCTTTTATTAGTTTTAAACCTGCTACCCATTAATTTCATTTGGTGTCCTCTAGTTCTTCTATTATGGGAACTAATGAATAACTTTTCTTTATCTGCCCTCTCCACACCACTCATGATTTTATAGACCTCTATCATATCCCCCGCAGTCTCCTCTTTTCTAAACTGAAGAGTCCCAGTCGCTTTAACCTCTCTTCATATGGGACCCATTCCAAACCCCTAATCATTTTAGTTGCCCTTTTCTGATCCCTTTCCAAGGCCAAAATATCTTTTTTGAGGTGAGACCACATCTGTACACAGTATTCAAGATGTGGGCGTACCATAGTTTTATACAGGGGCAGTAAGATAGTCTGTGTCTTATTTTCTATTCCTTTCTTAATAATTCCTAGCATCCTATTTGCCTTTTTGACTGCTGCTGCATACTGTGTGGAAGTTTTCAGAGAACTATCCATAATAACTCCAAGATCTCTTTCCTGATTTATCATCTGGAGCTGTTGCTATCCTGGCTCACACCCACCTTACTGTTCAGGATTGGAGAGTTCTTTAAATAGCATAGTTAGGCTTGTAAATCCATATTATGACAGTTAAATAAATGGCTAGTGGTACAGTTGTGTGGATTACCTGCAGCATTTGTTTGTCTAAATAGGAGGAGAGGTTCTTAACACCACTGAAAATCAGACTCTAAAATTCACAGTGAATTGAAATGAAGATGCTGTTGAATTCTAGATGCAATGTGTTTAAATCTTCTGACTTACTGCTTCAAACTTTGGTTACTCTGGATTCCATGTGGAACTAAGTTCCAATCAGTTATGCTGCAAGCCACGTATGTTTTGCACTACCAGCTCTTTTTTTGGTTATTTTCATAAAATACATTTGTACAGAAAACCTCTAAGAAACAGTTTAAGAATTATGAAAAGATTCTGACCTGATTCATCCAGCTGAGAGCACTAACAGTAGAGCCACCATGGCAGCCATAATTGTTGTATGAACAGTCAATGACCTGCTGTACGCTGAGTTCTTCCAGATCATTCCTTTTGATTGCATAGGCTGATTCTATTGCACCCACAGTGCTGAAAGCCCAGCAGCCTCCACACTGTGGGGGGAAAATCCAATATTTGTCATTGAATAGTTTTCTGCCTTACTGCTAAATAAACAAAAGGAATGAAAAAGAAATAGTTTAAATGCAATATGTTTCTTCTAATGGATTAGTTATGGCAGCAACAGCCCCAAATCACAATAAAAAGTGTCTTCTTGAATCCAAAATCCTATATTAAAATGAACTTATCTGTGTCTGGTTTATATTGTGAAAAGCAACAACAAATGCTTATCACTAAGTGAAAGAATTAAAGGACAACATAGAAAGGTGAAGCACAAGGAGTAAATGTTCAGTGGAGCTTGACTTAGGGTATACTACAGTAAAACATCTCTGGCTGGTCCGGCTCATGGGGCTGAGGGGCTATAAAAGTGAAGAGCAGACTTCCAGCCCTGGACTGGAGCCTGGGATGTGAGGGCCTCTCCACACACACATTCCTAGAGCCCAAGCCTAGATATCTATATTGCAGATTTTTATAGCCCTGTAGTCCAAGACCCACAAACCAGGGTTAGCTATAGATGTTATTTACTGCAGTGCAGACATACCCACAGGGCCTATTATTCTATGAAGAGCTAAAAGAGAATAATACTGGGCCAGGTTCTCAGCTTTGTACAAGTTACATTTAATGTAGCAGTGAATGAGGGATATCAGGGAGTGAATAATGATTCCCTGATCCTCCTCCTGGTTTTGGGTGCGAGTTAGAGCAGCCTAATGTTTGCTTAAGTAGGTTCCGGTTCCCAAGAGACTGTAACTTACTGGATATAGCTGGAGCCATCTTTCCTCTGGCTACCCTTCTTCCCTGCCCTGATATGTCTCTGCCCTCTCCCAACAGACTACCTATAGGGTTTGTGGAAAGGGAGGTCCTAGAGTTGAATTCTGCATCCACTGGAGACTTCATCCAATTGCTGCTCCCTTTTGAGCCACTAGTAGATTCAAATAACAAGGCAGTAGAGTAAATCTGTCTCGTTTGGTTTAAAAACTACTGATATTTGAGCATATTATAAGTCTAAACAGTTTTAGTCAATCAGATTTGGAATAAAAACTAAATATGTATTACATATATACTATTGTATAACTCTATAACTTGTAGACCTTTTAACTGACCTCTACACAAATAAAGGTACACCATTATAATGTACAGTATATGGGAACAATTCCTTTCCTTATACTATTGTAATTTGAAAATCAGTACACAAGCAAAACTTATTATATTCTGATCATACATTAAAAAGTAATGTTTATTGCCTACAATCAAAGAAAGTTAGAAATCCTTTATATATTCCAAGAAACTTAATCCGGCTATAAAATATAGCTAATTAGTCTTATCAATACTTATACAATATTTTGGATTTCCTGTTTTTAATTAATTTACACATTTACTGAGTCTGTATTACTTTTTCAGACAAACCCTCCCAGGTACTTGTGAAAACAAACTGTTTAAA